CCTTGCAGGCCATCTTATGTTGGCCATCTTGTGTCCACATGGGGGCAGCCATCTTGTGTGTTGGAGTGATGGTCAATCTGCATATTACTTTTTTATTAGCTAGGATTCCTGGTCAAGGACACATGCCTAGGTTTCAGGCTCAATCTTCAGTAGGGGGCGTGCAGGAGGCAGCTGATCAATGATTCTCATCATTGACGATTCTATCTTCTCTATCTCTCCCTCCCTCACTAAAATCAATAAAAATATATTTTAAAAAAGAGTATATATAGCCCTGGCTGGTTTGGCTCAGTGGACTGAAGACTCCTGGGTTTAATTCTGGTCAAGGGCACATACCTCAGTTGCAGGCTCAACCCACAGCCCTGTAACCACTTAAAAAAAAGAGTGCACAAACATCATAGGATGATTAAATATATATTTTTATTGATTTTTTACAGAGAGGAAGGGAGAGAGATAGAGAGCTAGAAACATCGACTAGAGAGAAACATCGACCAGCTGCCTCCTGCACACCCCCTACTGGGGATGTACCCACAACCAAGGTACACGCCCCTGACCGGAATCGAACCTGGGACCCTTCAGTCCGCAGGCTGACGCTCTATCCACTGAGCCAAACCGGTCCTGGCTGATTCTTGTATGTGTCTTGACTAGGGATTGAGCCCGAAACCTTGGTGTATCGGGATGACACTCTACCCAACTGAGCTACCTGGCCAGGGCCTTAGATGTGCATTTTATTGGACATAGAATGCGCATGCATTTCAATCTACTTGGTGCTGGAAAGCACTCAATTGCAACCATGTTGGTGGTTCTCAACCCCTGGCGACATGTGACAATGTTTGGAGACCTTTTTGGTGGTCACAACTGGAGATGCTATTGACACCTTGTGGGTGGGGGCCAGGGGCCAGAAATGCCGATAAACACCCTACCCTAACCCCTCCATACACCGCCCCCAAAGAATCGTTCATCTGGAGAGGTTGAAAACCCCACCCTGGATGGTCTAGAAGTGAGACTGAGCATTCAAATCACCGGGGAGCTTCTGACCAGTTCAATTAGGATCGCTCCAAATAGGGCCCAGGTCATTTCAATGTGAGCTTCGTTTTCAAGGTGATGATCACAGTGGGGCTATTTCAAGACTCTGGGTGGGAAGATCTGCTCCCCAGCCAATCACGGAGCGTGGGCGGGCAGCAGAACTGCTCTTATTGGGGGGTTCATTTGGGTGGATACTCTCAGGCTAGACCTAAGCCCTCGCCTCAGATGGTGAGTATCAGCTCTCTCCCTCTCTCTCTCTCTCTCTCTTTTTAAAACATATTTTATTGATTTTTTTTTTTACAGAGATGAAGAGAGAGGGATAGAGAGTTAGAAACATCGATGAGAGAGAATCATCCATCAGCTGCCTCTTGCACACCCCCCCCCCCACTGGGGATGTGCCTGCAACCAAGGTACATGCCCTTGACCGGCCTTTCAGTCCGCAGGCCGACGCTCTATCCCCTGAGCCAAACCAGTTTCGGCAGCATGACTGGCTTTTATTCATTTACTTTTCTATTACAGTTGATATTCAATATTTTATATTCATTTCAGGTGCACAGTTTAGTAGGTGTCCTTATTTACTGTAAGTTTAAAAAAATGTAAGTTGATTTTTAGAGAGGGAGGAAGAGAAAGATTGGTTTGTTGTTTCACTTATTTAGACATTCATTCGTTGCTTTAAATTTTTTTTTTTAAATTGATTTCAGAGAGGAAGGGAAAGGAAGAGACACACACATCCATGATGAGAGAGAATCATGGAGTGGCTGCCTCCTGCACGCCCCACCCTGGGGACTGAGTCTGCAACCCGGGCCTGTGCTCTGACTGGGAATCTGATCGTGACCTCCTGTTGCATAGGTGGACGCTCAACCACTGAGCCATGTTAGCTGGACCGTTGGTTGCTTCTTGTTATGTTTTCTGACTGGGCTCTGGCCTCTGGGGAGGATGCTAAGCGGCTGAGCTAAGGGGCCAGGGCCCCGGTGCCTTAATTTTCATTTCACCTGGACGACAGGGCCTCTCAGGCTCATTCTGCTCAGCTGCTGCCTGGTTATCCACTCTGGCCTTTCTCCTTTCTCACTCAGACCTTTCCCCAGGGAAATGCTTGCCACCTGGCTCCACCACCCACTCCCTGCTTGTTACTCGTTTTCCTAGACTCCCTCTCAAGTCTTATCAGCCCACATGGGGCAGTTGGCTGGTTGTGGGTGTAAACTGGACTTCAATGAGATATTATCCATAGGGAGCAGGGTCAGAGGGGCTTCCAACACATGCGCAAACTCCTTACCTGTTTGTAGGAAACCTTTCTGGCTTCCTCCTCCGCCTCTACCCCATTCCTCCCTCGCTGAGCTAAGCCCCACCCCCTGAGTGGTCTGGACAGCTCACACCTCCGCGCACCACGTGGCTCTGACATCTAGTGTGGTTTGGCTGCCCCACGCTCCCTTCCTAGAAAGTGAGCAGATCTCAGTCGGTGTTTTATTTTATTAAATATTCTATTATTTTTAAAATATATTTTATTGATTTTTTACAGAGAGGAAGAGAGAGGGATAGAGAGTTAGAAACGTCAATCAGCTGCTTCTTGCACATTCCCTACTGGGGATGTGCCAGCAACCACGGTGTGTGCCCTTAACCGGAATCGAACCCTGGACCCTTCAGTCCAAAGGCTGACCCTCTATCCACTGAGCCAAACCGGTGTCAGCTGTTTTTTTTTAAAATTTATTTATTTATTTATTTATTTATTTATTTATTTATATTTTTACTGATTTCAGAGAGGAAGGGAGAAAGAGAGAGATAGAAACATCCATGACGAGAATCACCAATTGGCTGCCTCCTGCACGCCCCACACTGGGGATCTAGCCTGCAACCCAGGAACAGAACCATGATCTCCTAGGACCTAGGTCATAGGTCCACACTCCACAGCTAAGCCCTGCTGGGCTGGGCGGGCAGTTGGTGTTAACTTCCATCCTGGCCGGTCTCCTTTGAGTCATGTTAGGACCAAGATCTGAGTTGGTAAGCAGAGATCTCCATAGTCCCAGGGGGGTGATTCTCTGCTTACCTTCCTGCCTGCTTCACTCTACTTTTCTCTGTGTGCATTCTGTAGGTGCAAGCCTTTTCCCTCCTCACTGTCTGCTCAGAAAGTCCATCCGACCAGCCCTGGCTGGTGTTTCTAAGTAGTTAGAGCGCCAGTTGGCCCATTTGAGGGTTCGATTCTGGTCAAGGGCACAAACCCTAGTTGTTGGTTCCATCCCAACCCCAGTCGGGTCACACAGGGTGGGCAGGAGACAACCACCTCTCTCTTCCTCCCTCCCTCTCCTTCCCTACCTTCCTCTTCTTCCCTCCCTCTCCCTTCCACTCTCTAGAATTCCCTCTCTCTCTCTCTCTCTCTCTCTCTCTCTCTCTCTCTCTCTCTCTCTCTCCCATTTTCTAGAAATCAATGGAAAAAATATCCTCAGATGAGGATTAACTAAATAAATTCCACCAGACCTCATTCTCCCCTCTGTTGGTCTGCTCATGGGCTCTCACAGCCAGACCTAATTTCTCACTCTCCCAATGGGGTTCCTATGAGCAGCTGTTCTCACCTCCAAGTCTTTACTGCTGCACCTGTGTGTCCGGCCCACAGGAGCCTGGCGTCTAACTTCCTGACCCACTACCTTCCCGAAATCACTCACTTCCTTCAATCGGAACCGGAAAAACGTGGCCGAGGTGCTGTGTTCCCCCCACTTTTTTCATTCTGTAAAAATAGATATGAGTATAGAACCATAGGGTTATAACAGATGACAATACAAGGACATGGAGGCTGATGGAAATACCAATATGACTCAATACCCTGTGGATTGGCTCCTGGAAGGCAAAGGGCTTTAGTGAAAAAACCAGTGAAACCTGCAAAAAAAATGTGGAGTTTGCTTACCAGTAATTAACGCCTGTTGGTTGCTTTTTTTAAAAAAAAATTATTTTAAATTTTTTATTGTTGATACTAAATGTTCCCCATTCCCCCCATTGCCCCACCCCTTCACCACCCTATTGTCTGTGTCCATGGGCTATGCATATTGATATATAAATTCCTAGTTTAATCTCTTCCCACCCCACCCTCCTCCCTCTGAGATCTGTCCGTCTGTTCCATGCATCCATGCCTCTGGTTGGTTCTGTTTTACTCATCAGTTTATTTTGTTCATTAGGCTCCCGCCTATATGTGAGATCATGTGATGTTTGTCTTTCTCTGCCTGGCTTGTTTCGCTCAGCGTAATGCACCCTTTTAAGTTTCTTCCTCACAAAACCAAATGCACCCTGCTCCCAGACAGCATGGAAAAAGGATGCTATCAGGACAAACTCATCCGTGACATGGACACTCAAGCGGGTCTTTGGGGTTCTGGGGTGCCCGTGTTCCGTGACTTTTTCACCTGAGGAGACGGAGGACTTGATGGTTTTTGTTCTGTTTTGATTTTAAATTTTAGCATGTGCATTTTAATATTAAGTATTAAATATGTTGAATAAAAATTCACCGAGTGGCCAGATGATCTCTGAACGCATAATAATTCAGCCACTCAGTGCATATCCTATGTAATAAAAGGCTAATATGTAAATTGTCCCCTCCACCAGGAGTTCTACCAGCAGGCAGGCCGGATTATTATAATCTCTGAACGAATAATAATCTGGCCACTCAATGTAGGCTGGCCAACTGCCCATGTCACCTCCCCGTGGCTAGGCTGGCCAGACCCCACCCATGCATGAATTCATGCATGGGTGGGGTCTGAAATTATAAAAAAATATATTAAAAATAAAAAAAGAGAAGCCAGGTAGGCAAATATTGTCTTAAAGACTGTGTTATACAATCAGTATTTGGTACAGTACGAGACACTTTATTCCTTCCTGGTATTCCTCGTTTCTGGTCCTTGACAAAGTGTATGTTCTGGTTACGTAGAGTGACTGGCGTGCCAACTTCCCCCCATTGCCTCTCATTCCAGGCGGAAAGGAGAGAGCGATCGAGCCACGCGATGGAGAAATTCTGCTCTATCTGGAAGCACACGTTCTGGAATGGAGTTGGTGACGACTTGCACTATAAAGTCATCGAGGGGGGCCAGAAGTTCACAGGGCTCCCCAGTCTCAAAACGTCCTCCCAGCGCAGGCTGCTGACCGTGGTGCTGCAGGGCGCGGCGGGTGTGGGCAAAACCACGCTGGCCAAGAAGTGGATGCTGGACTGGGCCCAGGACCACCTCCCGGAGACATTCCACTCCGCCTTCTACCTCAGCTGCAAGGAGCTGGGCCGCCAGGGAGCCTGCGCCTGCACCTTCGCGGAACTCCTGGCCAAGAAGCGTCCAGACGCACAGGAGGCCGGCCGCCAGGTCCTCGCCCAGGGCCAGGAGGTCCTGGTGGTTGTCGACGGCTTCGACGAGCTCCGAGTCCCCTCGGGCTCCCTCATCCATGACATCTGCGGCGACTGGAAGGAGCCCAAGCCCGTGCCCGTCCTGCTGGGCAGCTTGCTGAAGAGGAAGCTGCTGCCCAAGGCCACGCTGCTGGTCACCACGCGCCCCGAGGCCCTGGGCGAGCTGCGGCTCCTGCTGGACCAGCCGCTGCTGGTCCAGGTGGAGGGGTTCCAGGAGGCGGAGCGCAGGGGCTACTTCCTGGAGCACTTTGAGCAGCAGGACCAGGCCCTGCGCGCCTTCCAGGGCATGAAGGCCAGCCCGGCGCTGTTCCGCATGGGCGCGGCGCCCGCCGTGTGCTGGGTCGCGTGCACCTGCCTGAAGGGGCAGCTAGACAAGGGGGAGGACCCGGCCTCCACCTGCAAGACCCCCACCTCGCTGTTCCTGCGCTTCCTGTGCGGCCAGTGCCCCCACCTGGCAGCCCCCGCCCCGCGCCTCCCCACTGGGCTCCGCGCCCTGAGCCTCCTGGCCGCCCAGGGCGTCTGGGCGCACAAGTCCCTGTTCGATGGCCAAGATCTCGGGCAGCTGGGCGTCAGCGAGGCCGACCTGCGCCCTTTCCTGGAAGGCAAGGTGCTGCAGGCGGACGCGGACTGCGAGGGCTGCTATGCCTTCCTGCACCTCAGCGTCCAGCAGTTCCTGGCCGCCCTGTTCTACTTGCTGGACGGGGGCGCAGGCGGCTGCGGCTGTGGCTGTGCAGGGCAGGGCATTGGGGACGTGCGCGCGCTGCTCTCCAAGGGGGAGCGGCTGCGGAACCCCAGCCTGGCCCACGTGGGCCGCTTCCTGTTCGGCCTGGCCAACGAGGAGCGCGCCCGGGAGCTGGAGGCCGCCTTCGGCTGCCGCGTGTGCCGGGAGGTGAGGCAGGAGCTGCTGCTGGCGGCGCGCTCCACTGCCCGGGACTGGCCCTCCTCCTCCAGGGCTGACACCCGGGAGCTGCTGCACTGCCTGTACGAGTCCCAGGATGGGGCGCTGGTGCGGGAGGCGCTGGAGCCTGTCACGGAGCTGGCCCTGCACCTGCAGAGCGAGCGGGACCTGGTGCACGCAGCCTACTGCCTCGGGCACAGTCGGGCCCTGCGCAGGCTCTCGCTGCAGGTGGAGAAGGGCATCTTCGCGGAGAAGGACAGGTTCCAGGAGCCGGGCACGTGGGCGGAGCGGTAAGGACTTCACTCGTGTTTTTATTTTATTTTTAAAATATTTTTACAGATTTCAGAGAGGAAGGGAGAGGGAGAGAGAGAGAGAGAGAGACATGAATGATGAGAGAATCATGGATCTGCTGTCTCCTGCACGCCCGCTAGTGGGGATGAAGCCTGCAGCCGGGCGTGTGCTCTGACGGGGAATCCAACCCTGACCTCCTGGTTCATAGAGTGATGCTCAACCAATGAGCCACACCGGATGGATTTGTTTCTTTCTTTAAAGTTTAATATTTTTTTAAAGTATATATTTTATTGATTTTTTTTTTTTACAAGAGGAAGGGGGAGAGAGAGTTAGAAACATCGATGAGAGAGAAATATCAATCAGTTGCCTTCTGCATACTCCCTATTAGGGATGTGCCCGAAACCAAGGTGCATACCCTTGACCGGAATTGAACCTGGGACCCTTGAGTCCACAGGCTGATGCTCTATCCACTGAGCCAAACCAGTTTTGGTTAAACTTTAATATTTAAAAATATATATATTTTATTGATTTCGGAGAGAGGAAGAGAGGAGAGAGAGAGAGATAGAAACATCAATGATGAGAGTGAACCATCCACCTGACTGCTCTCGACGCCCCCCACTGGGGACCGAGCCCACAACACAGGCATGTGCCCTTGACTGGAATTGAACTGGGGACCCTTCAGTGCACAGGCCCACGCTCCATCCACTGAGCCACACGGCCCAGGGCTAAAGTTTAATTTTGATTTGTGACGTGATTACAGATGACCCCTGTTTCTCCCTTCCATCCTTTCTCCACTCTCTGCCCGGACTGGGGATGGAGCCTGCAGCCTTGGTGTATCCAGACGATGCTCTAAGCCAGTGTTTCCCAACCTTCTCTCATGATGAGAATCACCTGGTGGAGTTGTTAAAACACAGATTCCTGAATCCCAACTAAGAAGTGCTAAACTAGAATTTTTGGGAACATATAGGTAAAATTGTATACTTAACTAGTGCTCTAAGACAGATTTTATATACAGAGCACTAAGTTAGGTATGCAATTTTACCTATATGTTCTCAAAAATTCTAGTTTAGCACTTCTTAGTTGGGATTCAGGAATCTGTGTTTTAACAACTCCACCAGGTGATTCTCATTATGAGAGAAGATTGGGAAACACTGCTCTAAGCAACCGAGCTACTGGGCCTGGACTGTACTGGTAACAGGCGCTCTCCTCCCTCACTTCCTGCCAGGTCCCAGGAAGACCATCTCGCTCTTTGCTGCTGGATGGAGCTGTGCTCTGTGCTGAGTTCCAACAAGGACCTGACACTTCTGGAAGTGAGTCAGAGCTTCCTGAGCCACTCCTCCGTGAGGATCCTGTGTGAGCAGATAACCCGCGTCACCTGTGCCCTCCAGAAGGTGGTGTAAGTAGAAGCTCAGCTCACCTTGCAATGACAGTCCTTGTGTGTGAGTGTATGTGCTTAATCCTCACCTGAGGATACTTTCCCATTGATTTTTTAATTTTAGAAAGAGTGGAGGGGGAGGGGAGAGGGAGACAGAGAGAAACATTGATGTGAGAGAGACACATCCATTGGTTGCCTCCCGAACGCTCCCCTACGGGGATGGGAATCGAACCCGTGACCCTTGGGTGTGCAGGGCCCATCTTCCCCTTTCCCATCCTGATGTATGTGACGTCCCATCTCACTCAGGGTTCAGAGCACTAACCGTTTTCAGCAGCCAAGAGGGGACCCCCTCCCTTCTGTGTCCCCCAGGATTAAGAACGTCCACCCGGTGAACGCTTATCGGGACTTCTGTCTGGCTCTGGTGGGCAAGGAGACCCTGACACACCTGGTCCTGGAGGGCGGCATCCACTGCGACCACATGCTGTTGCTGCTGCTGTGCGAGGCCCTGAGGCACCGGAAGTGCAAGCTGCAGTATCTCAGGTACAGGGCGGGGCCTGCAGCATCTCGGGGTATTTCTCAAGTCACTCTCAGGAACAGAGCACGAATCTGATTGGTTATCACACCACGCCGGGGCGGGGTTCAGGCCTCTACACTCTCTACAGCCGGTATAGTGCATTGAGTAATGAGCCTCCAGTGCAAAGAAACACGCAGACTACTTCTTCTTTTATTTATTTTTATTTTTTCTTTAAAAAATATATTTTATTGATTTTTTACAGAGAGGAAGGGCAAAGGATAGAAAGCTAGCAACACCGATGAGAGAGAAACATCAACCAGCTGCCTCCTGCACACCCCCTGCTGGGGATGTGCCCACAGCCAATGTACATGCCCCTGACTGGAATTGAACGACGACGCTCTATCCACTGAGCCAAACCGGTTTCGGATAATTTTCTTTCTTTCTTTCTTTTTTTAATTGATTTATTGATTATGGTATCACATAATTGTCCTTATCCCCCCATTCTCATTCCAAACCCCTCACCACGTATGCTCCCAGCCCCCTGTTGTCCATGACCACTGGCTAGGCTCATATGCATGCACACAAGTCCTTTGGTTGATCTCTTCCCCTTACCCCCACCCTCCCCTACCTTCCCTCTGAGGTTTGACTTCTTTATTTTTATTTAAAAAATTTCTTTATTAAGGGATCACATATTTGTCCTTACCGCCCATTCCCATCCCAACCCCATCCCCACATCTGCCCCATCCCCACTATTGTTCATGACCATTGGTTAGGCTCATATGGATGCACACAAGTCCTTTGGTTGACCTCTTCCTTTTATCCCCACCCTCCCCTTACCCTCCCTCTGAGGTTTGACAGTCTGATCGATGCTTCCCTGTCACCGGGTCTGTTTTTGTTCATCAGTCTATGTTGCTCATCATTTCCCCGAGATGCATGGGAAACACGCAGACTTCTGTGGCATCCTCTAGCGTAGGGATGTCGTACTCCAGGCGAATGTGATGATCATATTAAAAAAAAAAAAGAAGATGCAAAACAAACAAACAAACAAACAAAAACGGGTCATGTTGGTGAAACTTCACACAGAATTGTATTCCAGATTTGAGAGGAGGCTGGACAGTGATTGAGGGGCCTTGGGGATATTTGAAGAAAAGCCAACGAGATCCACTTTCTCCAGTCCTTCAGGCCAGGGTTGGCTCCATGTTGAAGGAGAAAGAGATGAGCATCCGGGATACAGTCTTTGCGGCCAGCGTAAGCCTGTAGGGTCTCCGTCCTCCCATGAGAATGACTTTCCCCCTGTGTCCCACAGGCTGGGGTCTTGTTTTGACTTCACTCAGCAGTTGAATGACTTCTCCTTGGCCCTCGAAGTCAACCAGTCCCTGCAATCTCTGGACCTCACAGCCAGCAAGCTCGGGGACGAGGGCATCAAGTTGCTGTGTGGAAGCCTGAGGCACCCCAATTGCTTCCTGCAGTGGTTGTCGTAAGTGTCTCCTCTTCTCCCATGGGGCATCTTGTTTTTTTTTTGTTTGTTTGTTTTTTAGTACATTTTATTGATTTAAAAATATATTTTATTGATTTTTTTTTAACAGAGAGGAAGAGAGAGGGATAGAGAGTTAGAAACATCGATGAGAGAGAAACATCCATCAGCTGCTTCCTGCACACCCCCTATTGGGGATGTGCCCGCAACCAAAGTACATGCCCTTGACCAGAATTAAACCTGGGACCTTTCAGTCCACTGGCCGATGCTCTATCCACTGAGCCAAACCGGTTTCGGCCATTTTATTTTTTTTACAGAGAGGAAGAGAGAGTTAGAAACATCGATGAGAGAGAAACATCCATCAGCTGCCTCCCGCACACCTCCTACTGGGGTTGTGTCCACAACCAAGGTACAAGCCCTTGACCGGAATCCAACCCGGGACCCTCGAGTCCACAGGCCGACGCTCTATCCACTGAGCCACACCAGACAGGGTCCACGGGGCCCCTTTGTGTTTAGATCTGGGACCACATCAAGGAGAGCAATGGGAACACCCCTATTTGCTGGACACCCTACTGATGTAGGCAACACCTGGTGTATTGATGGTCGCCATTCTGACAGGTGCGAGGGGATACCTCGCATCCGTGTCTGGTCCCAGGTGGATGAATCCTACATTTTTGCTTGCCCTTTCTCTCCTTTCTGGTCCCTCATGGCTCAAGATAAGAGAGGGTCGGGGTTGGAGGGGGAGTGACGCAGAAGAGCTCTCCCCAAAGAAGGTTGAATTTTGGGAATGTTCTCCCCGCCCGACCGAGGCTGTGGTGCTTCTGCAGGCTGGAAAACTGTCACCTGACGGAAGTCTGCTGCAAGGAGCTCGCCTCCACCTTGATTGTCAACCCGAGGCTGACACACCTGTGCTTGGCCAGGAACAACCTTGGAGACAGTGGGGTGAGACTTCTGTGCGAGGGTTTGAGCTACCCAGAATGTCAGCTACAGGCCCTGGTGTAAGTTCCCGCTGACTGCATGTGCACGCGAGCACACGTGTGTGTCTGTGTCTATAACAATCATTCTATTTGTCTGTCATGCACACACCTAACAGGAAGTAATTGGCTCCAGACCCCTCTTCTTCTGACCATCTTTTCTGTAGGTTGTGCCAGTGCAGCATAACCAGAAGCGGCTGCAAACACATCTCCGACTTTCTCCAAGGAGACTCCAGCCTGACCCTCTTGGACCTGAGTCTCAACCCCATTGCGACTGGATTGTGGTTTCTCTGTGAGGCGTTGAAGAAGCCAGGTTGCAACCTCAAATGCCTGGGGTAGGTCCTTCTTCTCCTGTTCCAGGTGTTTTGGAACTAGTTATCCCTCTTGGAGATAGTTTGGAGAGAGAGAGAGAGAGAGAGAGAGAGAGAGAGAGAGAGAGAGAGAGAGAGACTGTGATAGAACCACTCCTGGCCCAGTGTTGGGCACAAATGCCAACAGACGGTGAATGCTGGTCAGTGGGTGGTTACAAAGGCACTCGGAGCCTAAAGAGTGGCTGTAGGTGCAAATGGGTTTTAAGGATGCCCATACCACTTCTGGTTAGCTCCGAGGGGCAGCTTAGTATCTCAGCTACACTGTCCTTCAGATTTTTTTTTTTAAAAAATATATATTTTATTGATTTTTTACAGCAAGGAAAAGAGAGGGACAGAGAGTCAGAAACATCGATCAGTTGCCTCCTGCATACCCCCTACTGGGGATGTGCCTGCAACCAAGGTACATGCCCTTGACTGGAATCGAACCTGGGACCCCTCAGTCCGCAGGCCAACACTCTATCCACTGAGCCAAACCGGTTTTGGCAGATTTTTTTTTTTCTTGTATCATTTTCCCATGGAAGAATTCACTGACTGCCCTGGTTCGTAGTTCAGTGGTGAGAACGTTGACCGATGGACCAAAGTGTTGTGAGTGCAATCCCTGGCCAACGCCGCATACCTGGGCTGCAGGTTCGATCCCTGGCCACAGTCAGGTGTGTGTGAGAGGCAATCAATCAATATAACTCACACACACCTCTCTCTCTCTTCGCCTTCCTCCCTCCCTTCCAGTCTTTAAAAATAAATGGGAAAAATATCCCTGGGGGAGAATTAACAACAGAATTCACTGACCACTACCAACCTACCTAATCCTTCGCTCTGGCTGACTTATCCCAACAACTTGTTCATATGGTCTTTAAGGCAAAGAGTAAGGTGGGGGAGAGGGGCAGGGAAGGGGACCTCTGTAATGCTCTAAACAATAAAGATAAAAAACAGCATATCCTGATGGCCTATGTCCATGGTCGGCAAACTGTGGCTCGAGAGCCACATGCTGCTCTTGGGCCTCTTGAGTGTGGCTCTTCCACAAAATACCACAGCCTGGGCGAGTCTATGTTGAAGAAGTGGCGTTAGAAGAAGTTTAAGTTTAAAAAGTTGGCTCTCCAAAGAAAGTTCAATCGTGCTGTTGATAGTTGGCTCTGTGGACTAATGAGTTTGCCGACCACTGGCCTATGTCCCTAGAATAAGCTCTTTGAAGAAAACAACTCGCCCAATTTCACTACCAGGTCCTCTGCAGGCCCGAGTGTGGCTGGCTCCCGGCAGGGTCCCCGTAAGGATTTGTTTCCACAAGAGTGACTGGCACCCGTTTTCCTTCCTCAACAGGCTCTGTGGCTGCTCCCTCCCATCTTTCTGCTGGCAAGACCTGGCATCTGCCCTGGCCAGCAACCAGAGGCTGGAGGTCCTGGACCTGGGCCAGAACGCCATGGGGCCAAGTGGGATCACCGTGCTCTTCGAGACCCTGAAGCAGAGGTCCAGCCCTTTGAAGAGATTAAGGCTGAGGGCCGATGAGTCCAGTGCCCAGACCCAGAAGCTGCTGAAGGAAGTGAGAGACTGCAACCCCAAGCTGAATATCGACTGCAAGGCTGCCCGAGCGGCCAGCTCCTTCTGCTGCGAATCCCTTTTCTTTATGCCCCGAGATAACTTCCCGGCTATCTACTAGTCTCTCTGGTGGGGACCAGACGGTCAATGTTAATTACTGGGTCACAGTGGACAAGGGAGTGGACACTCTCCACTCTCTGCTCTGCAGTGTATAGTTAAGTTCTGCAGGAGTCACCTACTCACTGGATGTCAAATGTCTGTGTTGTGTTTTTTTTTTTTTTTCCACAAGGATTCGGGATAATAAAAGGCAAAGCACAGTGTTTGAAATTGCCTTTGTTTTATTTGATCTTTTACAGCTTTATTTATTTTTTAAAATTAATTTCTTTATTGATTAAGGTATCACATATTTGTTCTCAACCCCCCATTCCAACCCCCCCCCCACTTATGCCCCCACTCTCCTATTGTCCTCGACCACTGGTTAGGCTCATATGTATGCACATAAGTCCTTTGGTTGATCTCTCCCTTTTATCCCCACCCTCCTTCTGAGGTCCAACAGTCTGACCCATGGCTCCTTCTCTCTGGGTCTGTTCTTGTTCAGCTGTCTATGCTGTTCACCATTTCCCCTAGATGAGTGAGATCATGTCTACTGGAAATACACTTACAAGAATAAAAAATGAGACAAGCAATAATCGTTATGCTGAAAGGCGTATGAATCAGTCTGTAGTGAGCTCCTTTCTGGGCCACCAGTTCTTTTGAGACCCAATTTCAATGTCAAACAGTTCCTTATGTGTACATGTCAGCCATGGTATTTCAGTTCTGCATGGTGGGCAAATGGTGATAATGCAGGTCTAACCCTCTTTGATTTGGTCCTGGGCTTTTACAGCTTTATAGAGAGAGGAAGGGAGAAGGGGAGAGAAACATCCACGAGAGAGGGAAATATAGATCAGTTGCCTCTTGCACGCCCCCTGATGGAAGTGGAATCCACAACCTGGGCATGTATCCTGGCGGGGAATGGAACCGGCACCACTTTGGTGCCCAACCAACGGAGCCACACCAGTGAGGGCAACTTTTAATTTTCTAAAGGTCTTCACCTGAGGACATGCTTATATATTTTAAGAGAAGGGGAAGGAAAATAGATGAGAGAGAAACCAATGAGTGAGAGAAACATCAATCTGTTGCCTTCCACAACCTTGCTGATTGGGGAATTGAACAGGAAACCCGGTATGTGCCCTGACTGGAATCAAACCCACAACTTTTCAGTGCACAGGATGAATTTCCAACCCACTGAGCCACATGGGTTGGGGTGAACCTGCATTTATCAATATGCCCCAGAGCTAACTTAGCATAAACTTGACGCTTGGCATAGGTAGTCTAGGAAAAAATATTATGATGCTGATGATGGTTGATTTTTCTTCCCTTGTTTTTCGGTCTGTTCTCTGTGTCTATGAGTCTGTTTCCACTTTGTTGGCTGGTTTAGTTTGTTCCTTAGATTCCACATGTAAGTGAAAGCGTATGGTGTTTGTCTTTCTGTGACCAGCTGTCTCTCATTTTTTTCCTCATCTCTTAACCTTTCACATTTTTCCTTCCTGCCACATTTTGTGGGTTAAACATCACCTTGGTGAGCTGAGAAAGAATGACCCAAGTGGAAGATAAAGGCCCCAAATCGACACAGAATCCTTTCTTAACTCAAGTACGGAAGTAGGCGGGCTTAAATCACTGTGGTTGTCAAGTGAGGACAGTTTTGCCCTATAAGGGATACTTGGCAATGTTGAGAGAGAGAGGCAAAATACATCAAGTTTACTGTTTTAATCATTATAAAGTGTACAGTTCGGTGGCATTTGGTGTATTCACAATGCTGACCACAGGGTCGGGGAGGGGGAGAGAGGCAGAGGTTGGACATTCCACTATAGACCATGGGGGTGGGGGAGGGCAGAGGTGGGACATCCTATCATAGACCACAAGGTGGGGGCAGAGGTGGGACATTCCATCATAGACCACATGGGGGACAAAGGTGGGACATTCCATCATAGACCACAGAGGGGACAGAGGTGGGACATTCCATTACAGGCCAAGGGGAGAGACAAAGATGGAACATCCCATCAAGACAACCGGGGGATGGGGGAGGCAGAGGTGGAACATTCCATCGTAGACCACAGGGGTGGGCAGAGGTAGAACACTCCATCATAGACCAAGGAGGGAACCAGTAGATCTACTGCTCAACCTCCAACCCTAACACAGTCCTTAGGATCGGGCTAGAGCAGTGGTGGGCAAACTGCGGCTCTCAAGTGTGGCTGTTTCACAAAATACCACGGCCTGGGCGAGTCTATTTTGAAGAAGTGGCATTAGAAGAAGTTTAAGTTAAAAAAATTTAGCTCTCAAAAGAAATTTAGTCGTCGTACTGTTGATACTTGGCTCTGTTGACTAATGAGTTTGCCGACCACTGGGCTAGAGCATGCCTAGTACCGTTCTGGGACCCAGGCTCGCCGCCTGGACCTCTCTCTAGCCCAGTGTTTCTCAGCGGAGGGCGATGCCGGTCTCCCCCTCTCCCAGCTCACTATCCGGGGACACTTTTGGTTGTCACAACTCGGGGAGGAGATGGTCCTGGCTCCTGCTGGGTAGACACCAGAGATGCTGCAAGACACCTCACAATGCACAGTACAGCCCCCTCACCCTGACAGCAAAGAATGGGTCCCACATTTCCGCAATGCTCACGCTCGGAAACCCTGGCTTAGCCGACCCTTTGCCAGAAAGGAAGAACTACCTGGGGCCACTCAATGTGGGCGAAGGCAGGCTTGCAAGTCCAGGGCGATTCTCCAAACTCAGCTCAGAGCGAGATATCCCTGTTCCCAGAGAACTCTGCATTAGGGCTCGTGTCCCTGAAAAGAGGCAAGGCACAGCTGGAAGAGAGAAACAGACTGAGGCATTTTTTAAAAGTTCTCTGCCCGGCCCTGCTGACCTCTCCACTCACCTCTCACAAGGGTTCTCCCAGCTCCCTCTGCTCCAGCTGAGGGCGCACCCACCGCAGGCTCTGCCCTTGCTGCTCTCTGCCTGGCAGTGGATGTCCTGGGTATCACAGGCAGCCTTGTCTCACACCACTCCTTCTCAGCACAGGCACCGCCTCCTCGCCCTGCTGTGCCCCGACCAGATCCCACGCAGGCCCCTCCCACCATATATGCCTTCTCCCATTCCCCTGTCTATATCCTTCTAAGCCAGGGATTATCTGGGGGGTGATTTTTGTCCCCAAGGAGACCCTTGGAATTCCAGAGATACTTTTGTCTGTCACAGTTGGAGGGGTGGGTGTTTGCCTCCTGGATCTGCTGGCTGGAGGGCAGGGGGTGCAGCTTGACATCATACAATGCTCAGGAAGGTCACTGCTGTGGAATGAACTGTGTGTGTCTCCCCCGCCCCCCCCCAGCCCCAAATGCACATGTTGAAGCCCTAACCCCTCTCGTGTGACTGTGTTTTGAGGTATGGGCATTTAGGAGCTATGAAAGTCAAGGGAGGTCGTAAAGGTGGGGTGCTAATTCAAGAGGATGGGTGGTCTTCTAAAGAGAGGAAGCCAGACAAGATTGGGAGCATTCAGGGTGCATATAAGCATAATCAAGGGACGCAGAAGCCAGGGGGGTGAGGGGATGAGTGGTGGTGGGGGTGGGAGGGCAAAGGGGGATAAGAACACGTGTGTAATACCTTAATCAATAAAGAAAAAATGTGTTTCTCTCACATCAATGTTTGTCTCTGTCTTTCCCTTTCACTTCCACTCTCCCTAAAAATCCATGGAAAAATACCTTCGAAGGAGGATTAAAATAATAAATAAGTAAATAAGTAAATAAATAAGTAAATAAGTAAATAAACAAACCCATAAATGATAAATTGTTCCGTTCCCTGCTGATTTGGGTGACACATTTTTCTAATAGGCACTGGAAGCACAAGTGTAAGTACAGAGAACAGAGCAAAGTGACCGAAAACAGGGTGGGGATTCTTACAAGTGAGAGGGACACCTTTGTAGGTGGAAAGACGATGCATTCAGATTAGTTGTTGGGGGGGAAGAAAAGCTGATAAAAATAACCTGAAGGTCTGGCAAGAAATGAAAATAGAATAAAATCAGGGTACAGAGGAACAGATCGGGCCATTCATCTTGGGAAAAGTGAAACCCTGGGCTTCAATGAGATCAACCCAGAAGTGGGTCCGGAGAAAGTGTGTGAGGGGGCTGCCAGCGAACCCCAAAGCTCTGTCGTTGGGGAGGCTGGGAATGGGATGGTGCAGGAGTGGCCGCAGAATGAGCAGAGAAAGGCAGTGAGAAGCGAGGAGGAAGTGGTCGTAGGCAGAGATAAAAGGTCCGATGTGGCCACGTGTCCAGGGCGAGTTCTAGGAAACCCATTAGCGTTTGTCATGAAAACAGCTGCAGAGGAAGTAGGGGTGAGAAACCAGTTTCCAGTGGTTGAGGAGTGACATGAAGGGGCACAGCCCACTGAGGGTGTGGGTCCTTTCTCAGGGGAGTCGGGCTCCACACCCAGGGACCCGTAACACCAGGGAGATGGACGTTCTCCTGCAGAATTGACTCCACGTTCTGAAGCTTTAACTTCTTCTTCTTCTTCTTCTTCTTCTTCTTCTTCTTCTTCTTCTTCTTCTGCTGCTGCTTTTTTTTTTTTACATGTTTCTCTTTTATTATATAGGATGACTTTTTTTAAATATCAGGAACAGTATAGATGATTTAGCAAGTAGCAGTTAGAGTCTACAAGACACGCGCTACAGGCATAGTGAATATACTTCAGAGTGTATTTTGACAACTCTGACAATTTTTGTTTTTTTTCTTCACAGTTTTATTTTTTCATTTTTTTAATTAAGGTATTATATGTGTACATATCTTACCAATCCCCCCCCCCCCAACTCCCATACATGCCCTGCCTCCCCAGAGTTTTGCGTCCATTATAATTATATGCATGCATACAAGTCTTTTGGTTGATCTCTTATCTCCCCCATATCTCCCTCCCCTCCCCACTGTTAAAAAAATAAAAATTATTACAATTATTATTTAAATGAAGAGTTCTGCAAAAAAAAAAAAAAAAAAAAAAAAAAAAAAGTCCTCCTTGCATTTATCACTTGCATTTCCTGTAAAAAATACCTCGCCTACTTTTCCTTACATAAAAATACCTTACTGGGACATCATCAAGTCCTTAAAGCAGTTACAGAAAATGGTAAATGCTTGACATAAAAACACTTGCTAATGTTCCTTATTTTCATTCATTGAATATACTTATATTAACTATATTTTTATTGCTCTCAGAGAGAAGGGAGAGGGAGAGAGAGAAACATCAATGAGAGAGAGAATCATTGACTGGCTTCCTCCTGCACGTCCCCGACTGGGGATCAAGCCCGCAAACCCAGTCATGTGCCCGTGACAAGAATCGAACCTGGGACCCTTCAGTCCATAGGCTGATCCTTTATCCACTGAGCCACACCAGCCAGGGCTGAACCTGCAACCGTTTAGTGTATGTGAAGACACTCCAACCAACGGAGCCTCCCCTGGCCATGGCAGATGTTGTATTTTTTTTTTTCCTTTTAAACAGTCAAACAACAGTCCATAGATTCATTGATAGAGGACAAACTGACAGCTGTCAGAAGGGAGGGTGGGAGAGGGAAAGGGGATAGGGTGGGGGAAGCTAGGCAAGGGTAAAGGAGGGACAAGTTGTGATGAAGGAGACTTGACTTAGGGCGGTGAACACACGATGCAATGTACGATGGAATTGTACCCCTGGAACCCATGCCATTTTATTAACTAATGTCATCCCAATACATTCAACAACAACAACAACAACAATACACTCAGAACCTACAAGAGACAGGGGGTCTGCCTGCACGAGACAATTAGCCTCTTCATCCCTCCTCCTGCCTTGGCTCATCAGTTTTCCCCCGGTTTGCTTCCCACACAGAGGTTGCCCAGCTCAAGGTCAAGGTCAACGTTCAGCTTCACTTACAGCCGCCGCATTTCTCTGTCATTCGTCCGGGGCTCCTTGCCTTCTGAACCTTCTCCTGTGTTCCTGACTCGAGGCCATGCTGAGAGCCCTTGTCATCGTCTTCTTCCTCAGAAGCCAGTGGTGGGTCAGGAGGCACGCAAGGGCCACCAGGACCAGGAGGCCCAGGCCCATCCGGAAGAGATTCTCTGCCGTGTGATCCCAGGAGGCCAGATCTGGGGTCGGAAGGAGGGTGGTCACAGGCAGGAACGGGTCGGTAGTGTTTCCCAAAGTGTGGTACGCGTACCCCCGGGGGTACGGGAAGAGTTTGGTGGGGATATGCACTGCACCGTGCTTAGCTGTGCCTAATTCTATGTTCTCATGAGTACGAGGGGTACTCAGCGTTACAAAAATTATAGAAGGGGTACACACATGTCAAAAGTTTGGGAAACACTGTCTAGACCAAGCGTGTCAAACTTGTGGCCCGCGGGACACATGCGGCCCACAACGAATATTTTTGTGGCCCAGACAATATAATGGCATGTACGAAACGTTTTAATAAAAATCTCATAACTTACTTTTTACAATATCCTGTCATGCATGATTATTAACAAGGAACTACAGCCGAAACCGGTTTGGCTCAGTGGATAGAGCGTTGGCTTGCGGACTGAAAGATCCCAGGTTCGATTCTGGTCAAGGGCATGTACCTTCGTTGCGGGCACATCCCCAGTAGGAGGTGTGCAGGAGGCAGCTGATATGATTATCCCTCATTGATGTTTCTAACTCTCTGTCCCTCTCTCTTCCTCTATGTAAAAAAATCAATAAAATATATTAAATAAAATAACATTCACTAGTGATTGATGACTTGTATCTTTGTGTTGCCTTCATTTCCCTTCCTCGCCTTACATCCAGGTGCACCATTTCTCTCCACTAACACCAGCAGCGAATGTTTTAGCAGCCAATGTCTTGAACTGACTTGTTGGGTGTGTGCAACAGGAAATATTTTGCTTTTGGAGAACAATAGGTTTATTTGTGTGGCACTTGTTAATGTGTGCAGTTATGCAGTGTCTGGTAAGTTTATGCTCAAGAAAAAAATACTAATTTTTATTAAAATGCTCTACTGTTTTGTGTTAACAATGACTCATTTACACTGAGTGGCCAGATTATGATGACCTCTGAACACATAATAATCTGGCCACTCAGTTTGTATCCTATAGAATAAAAGGCTAATATGCTAATTGTCTTCTTGACTAGGAGTTCGGCCAGCCGGCAGGCAGGCCAACTGCCCATATTCCCTCCCCCTGGCCAGGTTAGCCTGACCCCACCCATGCACAAATTCATGCACTAGACCTCTAATATATATATATATATATGGAGTGGCAAGACTATTATGTGTTCAGAGATCATAATAATCTGGCCACTCAGTGCATTTCAGCCCTTTGTCTTCAGCATGTCTCTATTGACATTAGCCTACATTTCTATGAAAACAGAAGCTTTTTTTTTTCTTTATTTTTTTCCCCCAGCCACATCCACATAAACCTTGTTTATTCGGCCCGTGGTAGCCTTTGAGTTTGACATGCTTGCTCTAGAGTCTGCATCCCCAGCTGCTCGCTTACCTTTTTGGAGTCCCTTCCTTGTGGTTGCCGAGTGGGGTTCCCCATTGTCTGCAGGAGATAGGGAACGTGGATAAGGGAGCCAAGGAGATGGTGTGGGCCTCTCTCCTCCCCTTGGACACACCCCATGGCTTTCCAGGGCTGTTCAGGGTCCCTGCCCTGCCCTCCAGGCCTCGGCGGCTTCATCTGGCAGGTGGTATGGAAGAGTCAAAAGGCAGAAGAACTCGAGGAAGAGTTCAGCTCTGGGGCTTTCTTCATGCCAGGCCTGTCTTCTCGCTGAGCCTGTTTCCTCAGCGAGTCAATCAGTATCATCTCTTCTTCCTCACACACAGGAAAAGTCAGGCTTGCCGCCTCCTCAAGGTCCTACATGAGCTGCCCCAGCCTCAACCCATCCCCATTGGACATGACTTCCAGTCCCACTGGCCTCCTTTAAAAAAATTATTTTTTAAACTTTTGTTTTTTAATCCTCACCCAAGGATATTCTTCCCATTGGTTATTAGAGAGAGTGGAAGGTTGGAGGGGGAGAGAGACAGACAGACGGAGAGAGAGAGAGAGAAACATCAATGCGAGAGAGACACATTGATTGGTTGCATCTTGCACACACCCCACTTGGGGCCGGGGATTGAGCCTGCAACCGAGGTACATGCCCTTGACTGGGAGTTGAGCCCCTGGCCCTTCTTCAGTCTGAAGGCCGATCCTCGAATCACTGAGCAAACTGGCCATCTCCCTGGAACCTTCTTTCTCCAGACAGTCACAGTTTTTGCTCAGAGGCCTCTGTCTCTGTGAGGCCAGCTGAGACAACCCCATGTACTACTGTGACCTGCCTCCCACATCACCTTAGCGACAAGGTTCTGCTTTGTCTCCTCCCATCCCACCATTTTCTGTGCAAGGAGCTGTCTGATGGACAAGTGGGCTGTGACCGACTCATTGTCCATGCCCTTCTGCTGGAATCAAGGGCATCTGTGTGGTTGACCTACAGAGCTGTAGTTGATGGCACTGGGAGGCTCCGAGTCCCTCCCCACATTCATTATTTATTTATTTTTAAAAAATATATTTCATTGATTTTTTACAGAGAGGAAGGAAGAGGGATAGAGAGTCAGAAACATCGATGAGAGAGAAACATAAATCAGCTGCCTCCTGCACAGCTCCTATGGGGGATGTGCCCGCAACCAAGGTACATGCCCTTCACTGGAATTGAACCTGGGACCCTTCAGTCCACAGTCCGACGCTCTATCCACTGAGCCAAAAGGGTGTTGGCTCCTCCCCACGTTTAGAAGCACCTGTTACTCACCTGGGGAAGAGGGCTGTCCTGGGGATGCAAGGTCAGTGACCCCCACATCTCCTGATAATGGAGACAAGAAGAAAGAAAACGTGAGGGTTTTGGGTTTCCTTTGTCACCCCACTATTATCTATGCCTACTCATCTGATAGCCTTCCTCACCAACAGTCAACAGGGCCTCAAGGAAATGGAGGAGGATGAGGCATCGCTGAGAGGTACAAGCTATCTCTCTCTCTCCATCATCCCAATTGGCCCTCATCTCATGGGGATCCCTTGGGGTCCCAGAGAGGCCCTGGGGAGACACCGGGGGCATCCTCACCTGTGTCTAGGAGCGTCACGGGCTCACTGGGGAAAGACCAGATGTGCTCATTGTAAGAACCGAAACACCTGTATGTCCCCTTGTGGGCAGTGGTTACGGGGCCCATGGGGAACTCTGCCCGAGTGTTGCCGACTCTGCGCCATGGGCGGCTGGCCAGCCCCTCCTTGCGCAGGAAGAACGTGGTCGTTGCCGTCTCCAGGTGGCAGGAGAAGGTCACGTTCTCTCCCAGGAGCACAGGGGGCCCCGGGTGAACGGAGAGGGTGGGCGTGTCATACATTCCTGTGGGAGAAAGGGGTTGGAAGGTAGAGGGCATCTTTACCCTGCCTCCCAAACTTCCCACCCATCCCTTCCCTTGTCTCTACTTTAAAAATTTTTATTATTATTATTTTTTAAATAATCCTCACCTAGTCGAGGGATATTTTCCCATGGATTTTTAGGGATGGTGGAAGAGAGAGGGAAGGACAGAGAGAAACATCGATGTGAGAGAAACACATCCATTGGTTGCCTCCTGCATACGCTCAGATCAGGGCCTGGGCCGGGGAGGAGCCTGCAACTGAGGTACGTGCCCTTGACCGGAATTGAACCTGGGACCCTTTGGTCAGCAGACTGATGCTCTATCTACTGAGGCAAACCTGTTAGGGCCCTCTTAACCACTTAAAAAAAAATCCTCACCTGAGGATGTGTTCATTTACTTTAGAGAGGAATGGAGGAGAGAGGACAAAGAAGAGAGAAGGAGAGAGAGAGAGAGAGAGAGAGAGAGAGAGAGAGAGAGAGAGAGAGAGAGAGAGAGAGAGAGAGAGAAATTGGCTGTCTACTGTGCATTCCTTGACCAGTAATCAAACCCACAACCTTTTTGGTGTATGGGAGGATGCTCCAGCACCCCAAGCTACCCAGCCAGGCCATCTCGATCACTTTGAAGAACACAGTGTGGTGGCATTAAGTACATTCGCATTGCCTGCAGTGCCACCATCACCCCCTTCTATCCACAGGACTTTCATCTTGCAAAACTTGAAACTCTGGCCCCATAACCAACAACTTCCTCTTTCCCCTCCCCTGAGGCCCCTGACACTCCCTCCACCTCTATTCTACTTCCTGTCTCCATGAATGTGACTATTCCAGGACCTCAGAGGAGCTGAATCAGACAGTACTTGTCCTTGTGTGATGGATTTATTTCACATAGCATTTACCCCCATCGTAGCACATGCCAGAAGGTCCTTCTGTTGTAAGTCTGGACAATATGTCCTTGTGTGGATGGACCACATCTTTTTTTTTTTTTAATATTTTTTATTGATTTCAGAGAGGAAGTGAGAGGGAGAGGGAGACAGAAACACCAATGATGAGAGAGAATCACTGACCAGCTGCCTCTTGCACTTCTCCTACTGGGGATTGAGCCTGCAACCCCAGCGTGTGCCTTTGACAGGAATCAAATCTGGGACCCTTCAGTCCACGGGCCGATGCTCTATCCATCGAGCCACACCACATCTTGTTTACCCCTTCCTTTGTCTATGGACACTTAGGTTGCTTCTACCCTTTGGCGACTGTGGACGGTGCTTCCATGAACACGGCGGTATTGAAGTGTCTGTGTTCAATGAGCACCCCAGGCAAGTCCACATTGGCCTATGTTTGAGAACACTCCTCAACCGAAGGGACCCCAAGATTACCCTCCCTTCCTCCCATCAACTTTTTACCCTGTCCTACTTTGTCAGGCCGCCATTTCCTCCTCACAGGCTACCGTATTGACTTATGCATCCTGACTCTGACTCCAGGTCTGTCTTGGGCGAGAGTCCAAGTGCAGTAAGAGCAAGGGTACCTAGTGGAACCTCCCTGGGAAGGGTTCTCATCCAATCACTGGCTGATGCTGGGGGCGGGAGGGGGGGCTTCTAGCTTCATTTGAGACCAGTCTGAAGGGCCCTCTCAGGGTTGGAGTGCTGCATAGGCATGGCTGGGTTTATAGTAAGTCTCCCAGTCTCACCCCATCTGCCCGGTCTGTGTCTCTCATTCATCACAGGGGCTGTTTTCTGAGGTCCACCTGCCCCCCCCCCAACCCCAGTTATCCTTCTTTGCTCACAAACATCCATCTCAGGGTCTCTTACCGGAAGAACTTGAACTTGACCTAAGACAAATCTGATCTTAGGATGCAGAGATAACTCTCAAACAGACAACCCCTGTAGGAAGTGACCAAACGCCCTCCCCCAAGGCAAATGGTGTCTGAGTGAGGTTTGGAAGAGACTAAAAGAGAAGAATAGCCTGGCTGGGGTGGCTCAGTGGTTGAGTGTCCACCTGTGGACCAGCAGGTCATGGTTTGACTCCTGGTCAGGGCATAGGCCCGGGTTTCGGGCTCGATCCCCAGGAGAAGTGCAGGGAGCAACCGATCCATGATTCTCTCTCATCGTTGATGTTCCTAGGTCTTCCTCTCCCTCTCCCTTCCTCTCTGAAACCAATAAAAATATATTAAAGAGAGAGAGAGATATTAATAAATGATGATGCTCCCCAGGACTCAGGCTCTCCGGCTAGAGCAGGGAACAAGTACCTGTTATCACCAGGTCCAGAGGATCACTAGGCTCTGACAAGAGCCCCCCAGTTCGATAGAAGCATGTGTACTGCCCTGCCATGTAGGAGGTCATGGGCTGGATGGAGAACTTGACTTTGTTCCCCAGCCTGGGGGGCTCCCGTTTCGCCAAGGTGAAGGGGAGTCCATTAAAGTGCAGCTGGTAATCCACTGCCCCGTGAGTCCCCTGGCACCAGATGGACACCGATGCCCCGTTTGGAACCATGAAACTGGGGTTGGCCCAGATGAGCGGCTTGGAGAGGGTCTCTGGAAGGGAATCAGAGGCTGCAGGGACTCCAGAGAAAGCCCCTTGACCCCCCTCACCCCCACCCCCCAATTCCTACCCAGCTGCTGGCCAGTCCTCCCTCTGTTCTCAAGTGGAAATGGTGGTCAGCACCACCCGAAACCCATTTCTGGGCCAGCGTCTGCCCTCTGAACCACGGACGCTACGCCCAGCCTAAACCCTCAAGGGTTTTGAAGGGAGGACTCACGGTTCTGGGTGCCGACCCTCAGACTCAGGTACAGTCCTGGAAGAAGATAGGAACCATGGCTGGGGTGCCCCCCACCTGGACCCGGACCCCACATCCTGTGTCTGTAGGAACTCACCGAGGCAGAGCAGGGCAGGGAGTGTAGACCACATAGCAGAGTCTACCAGGCGGGCGGGTGGACGGGGAGCAGCGTGGTGGAGGCAGAGCCCAGCAGGCCAGGCAGATAGATGCACAGGATGTGGTGAGTGAGGCCCAGCACCTGCCCGACAAGGGGCTCTCAGATGGACTGGTTTGCGAGAAGGCGCTCGGCTCTCCCTCCCTCACCTCCGACCGGGCGGGCGGTGTAAGGAGAGGGACATGGCCTTACACCACATCTGATCGCAGCCAGAGGCCTCACCCGATCCTCGGACAGTCTTGTCTGAAACTGGTTTCTGGGTCAACGTCTATGTTTGTTTTTTTTTTCCTCATTAATTCTAAAAAAATTTCTTTAATTGATTAAGGTATCACATATTTGTCCTCAATCCCCCATTCCAATCCTTCAGACCTCCCCACTCATGCTCACCCCCCTATTGTCCTTAACCACTGGTTAGGCTCATATGTATGCACATAAGACCTTTGGTTGATCTCTCCCACCCTCCCTCTGAGGTCCAACCGTCTGACCCATGGCTCCTTATCTCTGGGTCTGTTCTTGTTCATCAGTCTATGTTGTTCACCATTTCCTTAGATGAGTGAGATCTTGGACCTGCATCACCACCATGTGCCCATCAACCAGATCTGAAATATCATGGCTGACACGTACTCATAAGGAACTGTTTGACATTGAAATTGGGTCTCAAAAGAACTGTTGGCCCAGAAAGAAGCTCATTATAGACTGATTCATATACCTTTCAGCATAACAATTATTGCTTGTCTTATTTTTGATTCTTATAAGTATATTTCCAGTAGGCATAAATGTCTACATTTTGAAATGCAGGCCTTATTTGTTCAAGCAAAAAAAAAAATCTTAGAATCATTATTATTTTTTTCAATGTTTTGGGTAAACTTTAATTTAAAACAATACACTGACCTTTGTATGCAGAGCAAATTTAAATTCATATTTTCGCCAATAATAAGAAATGTATATTATCTGGGTTATAATGATAAATTATATAAAAGAGCTTTTATTTTCTTGGAGTGTTTTATGGTGCACAAATATGAAAAAAGACTGAATATTTAGTTGAACTTTGGTAGATTAGCTGACTATTTAAAAAATATATTTTATTGATTTTTCACAGAGAGGAAGAGAGAGGGATAGAGAGCTAGAAACATCGATCTGCTATTCATTCGATGTTCACTCCTGATTGAGTTCCTAGGTGGGAGTTTGACCTAAAATCGAAGCGCTGCTCTCCCCGGGGAAGGTGCCACGTGTTGGATTGCTTCCTTTTGTCTTCCCGCAGTGGCGCCTCCAATAGGGTACCCGCCAAGAATAAGGTTGAGCTTCCAGCTAACTTCCTGTTTTGCACAGTCCGGAGACCTTAGTCTTGATGGGCGCACAGGAAGGAGTGGGTGAGAAGCCAGGGCCGTGCATCAGAGTTTCCACATTGACCGCATGTAGATAGCGAGAACACAGCTCATGCAGGTGAGAAAGCCAGTGATGGGCTATGGGCTTTTTGTTTGTCGCTGTTGTTAATCTTTACCCAAAGAACATTTTTTTCCCATTGAGTTTTATTTTTATTTTATTTTATTTTAATTAATTTCTTTATTGATTAAGGTATCACCTATGTGTCCTCAAACCCCCATTCCAATCCCCCACCCCCTCCCCACACATGCCTCCACCCCCCTATTGTACTTGACCACTGGTTAGGCTCATATGTATGCACATAAGTCCTTTGGTTGATCTCTCCTTTTTATCCCCACCCTCCCTTTGAGGTCCAACAGTCTGACCCATGGCTCCTTATCACTGGGTCTGTTCTTGTTCATCGGTCTATGTTGTTTACGATTTCTCCTAGATGAGTGAGATCGATGTGTCTCTCTCACATCAATGTTTCTCTCTCTCTCTCTCTCTCTCTCTCTCTATCTATCTATCATCTATCTATCTATCATCTATCTATGTATCTATCTCTCACCCCACTTCTTCCCACTCTCTCTAAAACTCAATGGAAATGTATATTTCCAGTAGGACATGATTTCCTTTGAGTTTTAGAAAGAGTGGGAAGGAGTGGAATGAGAGATAGCTAGATAGAGAGAGAAAGAGAGAGAGAGAGAGAGAGAGAGAGAGAGAGAGAGAGAGAGAGAGAGAGAAACATAGATGTGAGAGAGACACATCGATTGGTTGCTTCCCACATACGTCCTCACCAGGGGGATTAAAAGAAAGGGTGAACTGTCGGAATGTCTACAAATAAACAAACAACAAGGGCTGGTGAGGATGTGGAGAAAAAAGAACCCTCGTGCACTGCTGGAGCAAATGCAGACTGGTGCGGCCACTGTGGAAAACTGCGTGGAGTTTCCTCAAACAATTAAAAAACGAACTGCCATTTGATCCACTTCTAGGAATATATTCTAAGAACCCCCAAACACCAAATCAGAAAGAATATATGCAACCCTATATTCATAGTAACGTTATTTACAATAGCCAAGATGTGGAAACAGCCCAAGTGCCCATCAGCAGATGAGTAGATAAAAAAGCTGTGGGATGCCCTGGCCAGTTTGGCTCAGTGGATACAGCATCAGCCTGCAAACTCAAGGGTCCCAGGTTCGATTCCAGTCAAGGGCATGTACCTTGGTTGCCAGCACATCCCCAGTAGGGAGTGTGCAGGAGGCAGCTGGTTGATGTTTTTAACTCTATCCCTCTCAATTTCTCTCTGTAAAAAAAAAAATCAATAAAAATAGTTATTTATTTATTTTAAAAAATACATTTTATTGATTTTTTTTACAGAGAGTAAGGGAGAGGGATAGAGAAAAACATCAACGAGAGAGAAACATTGATCAGCTGCTTTCTGCACACCCCCTACTGTATATGTGCATGCAACCAAGATACATGCCCTTAGTAGGAATTGAACCTGGGACCCTTCAGTCCACAGGCTGACGCTCTATCTACTGAGCCAAACCAGTCAGGGCAATAAAATATATTAAAAAAAAACCCTGTGGGATATGTACACCATGGAATACGATGCAGCTGTGGAAAAGATAGCTCTATTACCCTTGAGACAGCATGGAGGGACCTGGAGAGCATTGTGCTAAGAGAAATTAGCCAGTCAGAGAAAGACAAGTATCACATGATCTCACTTATAAGTGGAATCCAATGAACAGAATAAACAGATGAATAAAATAGAACCAGAGGCATTAAAACATGCAACAGACTGACGAATCTCAGAGGGAAGCAGGGAAGGATGGGAAGAGATTAACTAAAGAACTTGCATGCATATAGTCATTGCCCGTGGGCACAAACAACAGCGTGGTGGGGCAGGAACTAGGTGGAGGGGGCAATGGGACATCTGTAATACTCTCAACAATAAAGATACAAGAAATCAAAATGAAAGGGTGAAAAGAGGAGACAGCCAGGTGAATCGAGAATGCTTTGCATTACCTTTTTCTAAAAAATTAATTTCTTTAGTGATTAAGGTATCACATATTTGTCCTCAACCTCCCCCCGACCCCGGCTCGCCCCATTCAATCCCCAGACCTGCATTACCACTGTTTGCCCACCATCCAGATCTGAAATATGATTGCTGACATGTACACATAAGGAACTGTTTGACATTGTAATTGGGACTCAAAGGAACTGGTGTCTCAGAAAGAAGCTCACTGCAGACTGATTTATATGCCTTTCTGCATAGTGATTATTGCTTGTCTCATTTTTGATTCTTATATTTCCAGTAGGACATGATCTCACTCATCTAGGGGAAATGGTGAGCAACATAGACTGATGAACAAGAACAGACCTTTTTTTTTTTTGGTTGTTTTTTAAACGACGGGAAATGAGTTGTACTGAGGCTGCAGGTGAGAACTTTCTCACCCACGTTCTGGAAGGTGGGGTGCAAACAGGTCAGCTCCTGTAAGAAACCACCGCTCGAAGGGCTTGAAAGTGGATCCCGTGTGCGCTGCCGGACCCCGCAAGCTTGGACGTTATCTGCCTGCAGGCCCGGGCGTCCTCCTGGTGCCCTCAGGGCTCGGTCCACGGGGCTAGCCTGCCTGGCTTTTCTGCTCACCCAGTCTCAGGTCAGGCACTGCTCGCCAGTGTCCTCCGTGTGAGACCCTACAGCTGGGCCAGTTTTCAGCCGGTGTGGCCAGGAGAGCCGGGAAGACCAGCACGGCCGCATCCATTCTGATCAAGTTCTGCACTGTGTAATCTTTTTTTTTTAAATTTCTTTATTGATTAAGGTTATCACATATTTGTCTTCAACCCCCATTCCAATCCTCCCCCACTCCCCCACTCATGCCCTCACCCCCCTATTGTCCATGACCACTGGTTAGGCTCATATGTATGCACATAAGTCCTTTGGTTGATCTCTCCTTTTTATCCCCACCCTCCCTTTGAGGTTCAACCGTCTGACCCATGGCTCCTTATCTCTGGGTCTGTTCTTGTTCATCAGTCTATGTTGTTCACCATTTCCCCTAGATGTGTGAGATCATGTCCTACTGGAAATATAAGAATCAAAAATGAGACAAGCAATAATCATTATGCTGAGAGGCATATGAATCAGTCTGTAGATCAAGTCTGAGACCATGTGGATTCCAGCAACAGAGAGGAATTGATAGGACTACTCCAATCATGAAGACAGAAGAGAAGCAGTCCAGAGATGGAAGACACTGAAGATGCCTTGCCACAATAGCAGTCAGCAGCTGTGTATCACTGCAGGTTGCCCAGGACCAAACCATAGAGGGTTGGACCTGCATTACCACCATTTGTCCACTATCTAGAAATGAAATATCATTGCTGACATGTACACATAAGGATCTGTGTGACATTGAAATTGGGCCTCAAAAGAATTGGTGGCCCAAAAAGAAATTCTCTGCACCATGTAGTCTTGGCTCCCGGTACCCAGAGACACCATTCAAAGGGGATGGACCATCACTGGTCATGTCCCATACCACTTCAGCTCCAGAGCCCAGGAATGGGAGCCAATTTTTATTTTTATTTTTTTTAATATATATATTTTTTAGCCCTAGCTGGTTGGGCTCAGAGCATTGGCCTGTGGACTGAAGGGTCCCAAGTTCGATTCTGGTCGAGGGCACATGCCCAGGTTGTGTGCTCTCCCACTTTCAATTCCTTTATAAATGTAAAAGTGCCATTGTTGGATGCTACATCTAGCTTTTGAGGCAGTGAAGAGCTTTATTTCAGGAACCAAACCACTTCCTATATATATATAT